CAAACAAAGACTACTCTCTAGAACAAACTTCACCACTCACAGAACAGTATGAAGAACACTCATATCAATGAAAAAAGGAGAAAAGAACACCGATAATAATATGAAAGAAGAAAGAAGAACACTTATGACATTATGAAGGAAATAAGAACACTCATAACATTGTGAATAACATAACGAAGAACAAAATCACAGTCTCTCATTAGGTTAATGGGGATCAGCGCTCATAGAGTTATTGATGTAACTGTCTTGATCATAACACAAAACAATATGAAGAACATGAAGAACAATATTAAGATGATGAAGAACATGAAGAACAATATTAAGATGATGAAGAACAGGAAGAACAATACAATTATGATGAAGAACAATATTAAGATGATGAAGAACAGGAAGAACAATATTAAGATGATGAAGAACAGGAAGAACAATACAATTATGATGAAGAACAATATTAAGATGATGAAGAACAGGAAGAACAATATTAAGATGATGAAGAACAGGAAGAACAATACAATTATGATGAAGAACAATACTAAGATGATAAAGAACAGGAAGAACAATACAATTATGATGAAGAACAATACTAAGATGATAAAGAACAGGAAGAACAATACAATTATGATGAAGAACAATACTAAGATGATGAAGAACAGGAAGAACAATACAATTATGATGAAGAACAATACTAAGATGATGAAGAACAGGAAGAACAATACTAAGATGATGAAGAACAATACTAAGATGATGAAGAACAGGAAGAACAATACAATTATGATGGAGAACAATACTAAGATGATGAAGAACAGGAAGAACAATACTAAGATGATGAAGAACAGGAAGAACAATACTAAGATGATAAAGAACAGGAAGAACAATACTAAGATGATAAAGAACAGGAAGAACAATACTAAGATGATGAAGAACAGTACTAAGATGATAAAGAACAGGAAGAACAATACAATTATGATGAAGAACAATACTAAGATGATAAAGAACAGGAAGAACAATACAATTATGATGAAGAACAATACTAAGATGATGAAGAACAGGAAGAACAATACTAAGATGATAAAGAACAGGAAGAACAATACAATTATGATGAAGAACAATACTAAGATGAAGAACAGGAAGAACAATACTAAGATGATGAAGAACAGGAAGAACAATACAATTATGATGAAGAACAATACTAAGATGAAGAACAGGAAGAACAATACTAAGATGATGAAGAACAGGAAGAACAATACAATTATGATGAAGAACAATACTAAGATGATGAAGAACAGGAAGAACAATGCAAAGATAATAAGAACAATTGACTATTAATTATCAGTATAGCATGTCGTCTCTATTTTGTTTGCAGTATAATGTATGTGTGTGGATATGTCCGTGTTGTATAATGTATGTGTGTGGATATGTCCGTGTTGTATAATGTATGTGTGTGGATATGTCCGTGTTGTATAATGTGTGTGGATATGTCCGTGTTGTATAATGTATGTGTGTGGATATGTCCGTGTTGTATAGTGTATATGTGGAATGTACGTTTTGATGTGAAACCTAACCTAACCTAACCTAACCTAACCTACAGTACTGTATATTTTTAGCGTCTTGGGGGTGTAAATACGTCTTTTGCCTAACTGTAGGTGAGCGGCTCTGTGTCAGGTGGTGGACTGATGGCCTCTCTCTCTCTCTCTCTCTCTCTCTCTCTCTCTCTCTCTCTCTCTCTCTCTCTCTCTCTCTCATGGTCCTCCTAGTCTCTCTCTTTTATTTTCTCTCTCTTAATCCAAAACAGCCCACACCACTCTTTCTCTCTCTGACTAAAGTCTGCCATGGTCCAACACACACACACTACTACTACTACTGTCACTACTGTCACTCGGAATCGAGTATGACGATCATCCAGTTATTATACAATGATATGAGTTATTTAGGATGTACACCTAGGTTGGTGAGGTCTGAGGTGACCGACAGGGTCAATCACAGATGATGCATACGTGTGGGGGGGGGGGTTACATCTAGTGCGGGAAGGGTGGCGGCAGCGTCTTTCCGGAGTTGGCGCTTGTCTGCCTCGGTATGCAGTCGGGCTAACTCGAAAGTATTGACACCTTCTTGTGTGGTGATCCTCCAAGCGTTACAGTGTGGAGTAATTGTCTCCGAGGTGAGGGGGTCGATTTGGCACATATAATATTCGTTAGGTGACTGTAAAGTAACTGCTTTGGAAGTCTACTGTCGTCCATGCGTGTAACATGGCCAGTCCAACGTACAGTAGTTGTTCATGGATAATGGTAGCCTCGATGCTCCTGCAGTTGGTGTCAGCATGAGTACTGGCATTTCTTCTTTTGTCTTCCCAGCAAACTCTGAGGATGGAACGTAGACTACATTGGTGAAAGTTTTCAAGTTCCTTGAGGTGCCTCCTGTATGTGACCCATGTCTCTCTGCCATATAGCAAGGTGGGCAGGACCAGTGCCCGACACAAGTGTAACTTTGCTGATAGCTTCAGCTCTCTACAGCTGAAGACACGGGTACGGAGTCTGTCAAAGGCTTGAGATGCACATCTGATGTGATAGTGAATCTCTTCATATATGTCCGCGGTGGTGGACAGGTGGGAGCCGAGATACTGAAAGTGGGTAGCATTAGAGAGGGTAGTGCCGTTAAGCTGGATGGATGGTGGAAGTGTGGCTGAACCAGGGGCAGGCTGAAAGAGAATCTGAGTCTTACTTACATTCACCTTAAGGCCGAAATGTGCATACGCATCTGCATAGGTGTTCAGGATCTCCTGTAGGTCTCATTCAGTGTGAGCGACAAGGGTGAGGTCGTCTGCATACTGAAGTTCAGAAATGGAAGGTGCCGACACCTTTGTTCCTGCCTGGAGTCGTCTTATGTAGAAGAGATCCTTCATCCGGTACTCGATGCACAATTCGTCTGCTAAATTGGCACTGGCACGAGTAAGGAAGGCAGCCAAGAAAATGGAAAAGAGAGATGGTGCAAGTAGACATCTTTTTTTTACCCCCATTTGGATGAGGAAGAACTCAGACTGGGTACCATTGTGTAGGACAGTGCCGTTCATGCCATCGTGGTGTTGCCTCACAATAGCAATGAATTTGGTGGGTAGCCAAAACGGCTGAGGGTCCAACAGAAGGCTTCCCTGTTGACTGAATTGAAGGCCTTGGTTAGGTTGATGAAGGCCATGTACAAGTCAAGACACTGTTCTCTGCACTTTTCCTGCATTCGGCGGGCAGCAAAGATCATATCAGTGGTGCCACGTGATGGTCTAAAGCCACATTGAGATTCTGGGAGGAAGTTTTCCACCTCAGGAAGAAGTCTGTTTAGGAGGACTCGGGCGATAATCTTGCCAGCTGCAAAGAGCAGCGATATCCCACTGTAGTTGCCAGAGTCTGACCAGTCTCCCTTGATCTTATAAATATTGACGATGGAGGCGTCTTTAAGGGCTTGGGGATTTCCTCTTTTTCCCAGAATTATATTTTCCAGGAGAGAGAGGAGACGGCTAGTAAGCAGAGATTCTCCTATTTTATACACCTCGACTGGGATTCTATCAGGCCCTGAGGCTTTGTTATTTTTCATCTGTTTGATGGCAGTAACTACCTCATCCAGGGATGGAGGATAACTGAGGTGGGTCAGCTCTAGATGTTGAGGGACCTCCTGGGTAGTCAGGACATCCACATCGGTGTTCCAGTTGAGCAGCGAATGGTAGTGCTCTTTCCAGCGCTGATGGATGCCTTTTTCGTCTTTAATTAGGGAGTTACCATCGAATGAGTGAGGGGGGGCTGTGCCATGAGTGATTGGCTCATAAAATTTTTAAGTGGAATTGAAAAATTCGTGCATCTTGTGCTGATCTGCAAGTTTTTGCAAATCACATGCTTTATTTTTAAATCAGTCATTCTTTAGTTGCGAAGTTCGTACTGGGCTGCCGCTTTCTTCTTGCAAAAGGTGTCAGCCTTAGTCCAAGACTGAGGGTTGTTCTGCTAGTCAGTTAAAGCAGCACGTTTATCATCAATGAGTACAGTACATTGGTTGGTTTCCTGGTCATTTTCATCACACCAGTCCTGGTGTATTCTTTCTATCTGACCGAGGGTTTCTCTGCAGGTTTTTGTCATGACAATTTCAAGAATACCCCATTTGGCACTGGGGTTTGTGTTGTTTGTTGTCGGGTTGTTTATCAACCCATGTTCGAGCTGCTCTCTGAAAGCATGTGCTTTGTGCTACCACTGGATCCTCCAGGCGCTTAATGTGAAAACCTCTTCTGGAGGCTTGTTGCCTTTGCCATTTTGGGGCGACGTGAAGTGAGAGTTTGATCAGTGTCACAGTGGTCTGAGCTATACATTGCTCGGGTGATGAGGACATCTCGGCGATCTCTTTCTCTGAAACTGATGTCAGTGTTTGGATCGTGGATGTTCCCACGAACCCTTGAGCTTGTCGGCCTGCATAAACAGTGTATTGGTGTTGGTGAGGTTGTGTGCAGCACACTTGCTGAGGAGTAGGCCGTTGGGATTACACTTGCCTAGCCCATTTCTCCCTATGGTTCCCTGCCAAATGTCAGCATCTCTGCCAACTCTGGCATTGAAGTCACCAAGGAGCACAACCTTATCTTCTCTAGGGATAGAGGTTAGCACTCTGTCAGGGTCGGCATAAAAGGCCTTGATGTCATCCTCTGCATCTAATGCTGGGGCGTATGCACTGATGAAAATGGCATGACGTGAGCGTTTCAATGGGACTCTGAGCGTCATGAGGTGATCGTTGATCCCAACAGGCATTTCAGTTAGCCTGTGTAGGATGCGTTGGTGGATGGTAAAGCCAACTCCATAAATGCAGTTTCTCTCTGCAGCAGGCTTACCCTTCCAGAAAAAGGTATAGCCAGAACCCCGTTCTGTGAATTGACCCTCGTCTGGGAGCCGGGACTAACTAATGGCTGCTATGTCGATTTTATACCGAGCCAGCTCTTTTGCCACAAGGATGGTTCTTCTCTCAGGATGCGCATTTGTGCAGAGTTGTGACTAGAGACTCCCGGCAGTCATCTCTGCCTGTCCTCGTCGCCACTTCGCCACTTGTCCGTCGCCATAGGACTTTTTGGGGTAAGGGGGTTAGGATGATGATGGCTGCGTGTGAGTTTATTTATGTGATGAGGCAGGAGCGCAGTGGTGCAAGTGTTGCAACGACTGGGGAGAGGGAGAGTTGCAATGGACTGCCGATAGCCCAGTTTGTTGGGTTTCGCCTTAGTAGCCTGTCCATCATGCATTGCCTTCGTCCGCCGGTGTAGTCGTTGGGTTCCCATGGAAGTCACCTCTTCCGCCTGTATAGCCGTTGGTGTCGTGTTGGGGGTCTGTAAACATGTCTGCTTGATGCGGGGCTCCATCGCAGATTTTTCGTTCTGGGTTTAATCCGCAAGGCAGCGGAGCAGTATTTGGTAGGTGCCAGGATGTGTCCACGTGCTAGTTGGCCCATGCACCGTCCCTCTGGGGCCCACTGCTACTCCGAGATCTCCTGCTGGTCTAGCTTGGGCCCTCGAGGCACCCAATTACCGTGTGTTGTCACGAGGAGGCACAGCAGGACTAGATGGTGAAGAGGCTGTGTACTGGCAGGGAAAGACTTGTGCAAGTTGCTTCCCTGTTCACCACGAGGGCTAGCCAGCGGCGGTAGCTGAAAGCGAGAGGAAGCAAGCAGTGCTTACACCTTAACACTAACATAATGCTGCCACACTAGACGCATTACACCACCTTGTGCGCGCGCACACACACACACACACACACACAACTATGCAGACAATCACCTGAGATAATGTCCAGCAGAGTCGCATGGCTTGTTATGCTACACGTACGTTGTGTGAACAGTTAACAGGTGTGTGTGTAATAATCCTCTCTGTTACTCGATATTGGTCAAACTTCATGTAAATCGATGACGGGGGGAAGATGAGGGGATGAGAAAGAGGCAGAGGGAAGGAAGAAGAGAGAGAGGGGATGAAGGAGAGGAAGGGGAAGAAGAGGAAAAAGGAAGAAAAGGGGAAGAAAAAGGAAGGAAGGAGAAGAAGGAGAGGGAGGAGGGGTGGAGGAAGGAGAGGAGGAGAAGAAGGAAGGAGGGAGGAGGGTGGAGGGAGGAGAGGGAGGGTGGAGTAAGGGGGAGGAGGGTGGAGTAAGGAGAGGAGGAGTAAGGAGAGGGAGGAGGAGTGGGAGAGGGAGGAGGGGGTGGAGGAAAGAGGAGGAGTGGAGGAGGAGGAGGAGGAGGAGGAGGAGGGAGGAGGAGGAGAGGGAGGAGGAGGGTGGAGGAAGGAGGGAGGAGGGGTGGAGTAGAGGAGGGAGGAGTGGAGGGAAGGAGAGGGAGGAGAGAGAGGAGTGGAGGAAGGAAGGAGAGGAGGAGGGGTGGAGAGGAGAGAGGGAGGGAGGAGGGAGGAAGGAAGGAGAGGAGGTGGAGGAGAGGGAGGAGGGGTGGAGGAAGGGAGAGGGAGGAGGGGTGGAGGAAGGAGAGAGGAGGAGGAGGGTGGAGTGGAGGAAGGGAGGGAGGAGTGGAGGAAGGAGAGGGAGGAGGGGTGGAGGAAGGAGAGAGGAGGGGTGGAGTAAGGAGAGGAGGAGGGGGTGGAGGAAGGAGGAGAGGGAGGAGGGTGGAGGAAGTTCTATCTCAATGGGTTAAGTGAATTGCTTTATACAATTATTATTCATAACATCTCTCTCTCTCTCTCTCTCTCTCTCTCTCTCTCTCTCTCTCTCTCTTCTCTCTCTGTGTGTGTTCACACAAATATCATATACTGTTTGGGTCAATATGTTAATTATATTTTTTGGGGGTCAGGTTTATAATAATAGTATGTAACGTGCATCAATAATAATAATAATAATAATTGGTCAGCAGCATTAGTGTATACAACAAGGAGGAAGCATTACGTGAGTCGAGGGCGCCATAATTATTACAATGATCCAAAATGTAAATATATTATAATTGTTTGTATGTATATAAACATTTTCCAGCCAACAGTCTGCATGTTTTAGAGAGTCCATTGTGGTGTGGAGGATCGCCCTGTGAGCCCATTATGGTCAGGGTTATATTAGTGGCCCAAGTATGGATACAAAGCTTTAACAGACGCGCCTGTAGGTCAGGTTACCCTGGGTGGGGGACGCCTGTGTTGTAATGATCTGCTCTCCCAGTAACGTGGATTACCTCTTCTTTCATACATACCCGCGCTGGTTCCTCCTCCTCCTGCCCTGTCCCCCACAACCATGTAAGTGCCATTGTACCAGGCATTGTGTTCCTCCTGCTGTCTGTCTGTGCTAACACTTTTTGCTAGCTCTCTCTCTCTCTCTGACACACACGCACATATCCATCCTTCTCATTCATTATCATGTACGAATATGTTATTTTTTTTACTGTATTTAGCTTGTTGTTATTGTACCTTAAGTCATCTATTCATATTTACCATTGTTATAGACTATGTGCTTAGTGCGTTCTAACAACAACTTAGTTCACAATATAACTCACTCTACCGGATACACCCTTCTCCCCTCAGCATACATCAGTTCATCATTTTATAATTATAATGTATTCTCAGTTGTTCTTGACGCTCATTTCTTCCTCTACAATGTCCCATCTCTGTATAGTCCTCTCACTCTACTGTTCAGTAAACTCTTACTTTTGAAAACTGGCTCAGTCTCATCAGTGTGTGTCAGTCAGGGAACACAACACATCCGGCGGCTGATTCACTGCCTTACTTGTGCTCTTTGTTTGTGAGAACATCATAATGAAGGAAGTGTTGTTCAGAGGTTATTGTGAGTTAGCAGAGAGAGATAATGTATGTGACGGTGACCACCACTACTACTTTCTCACACCTCTACTGTTGCCTTCACCCCAGATGCTTCACACATTGTTTGTCCTCATTGTAATAATCACACACACGATCCCACAATTTGTCCTCCTTCTCCTCTTCTTCACCATCACCACAGAATCCCCATACCCTCTCTCCCATGGTAGGTTTGTGTCGCTTACGAGTGGGTTTATGTCCACTCCAGAGATACATTGTTCAGTCTGCATCTGTACCAACTGAAGCTATACTGAGGTGGGCTGATTGTGGTCCGAAGTAGTGACACGTCTCTCTCGCTCTCTCCCTGCACCCCTGCTACACAGCAATCTTCTCTCCCTGCCAGTATTCCCTCCTTGCTATACCCCCATCTCCCTCTCCCTGCTAATGAGACTTTTTACACCCTGTACACTGTCCTGTATCAAATCTTAGTTCCCAGACTACTGAGAGCCCGGGGAGTACAGTCTACTGACGGACTACAGTACACCTTCCTTAATGACTCTCCTCTTCCTCTGACCACCTGCTCATCTCCTCCTGTACACGGACACACACACACACACACACACACACACACACACACACACACACACACACATAAAATGTTGCGCATCAATGCTTTGTACAGTGCTGATGATAAAATACTTGGTACAATGATGGTCACTTGCTTTGCAACACGCTGGTCCACCGCTTATTGCTATGCAGTCCCCTACAGTGGACCGTAACATGCTGGCTGTCAGCTTCTCTGTTCAAGAAGAATTTTAGCGCTGCCTTTGTAACCTTCAAGACCAGTGACTATGTGCAGATAAATCCTTTTATAGTTCTCATGGAACCTTTGGTGTTGTATAGGCGGTCGAGTGGATACAGAGCTTGACTCCTGTTCCACGGGTCGGCCGTTCGATCCCCGGGTACTCCCAGTTTAACCAACTGTAAATGCGGTCGAGAGCAATACCGGCCGTGCTGCCTCCCTTTGTACCGAAGGCTTAGTATACTGTACAGTATCCACACGTCCCTAACGGGCAGTCATGCCTATGGGACCCACTTTCACTACTCCAGTAACGTTGGTGTGTCGGTGTACATAGTTCTGGTCAACACGTTTATCAGAGCTGCTGTTTTATCCATTACATGTATAGGGTACATAGTGATGTTACAGCGTCAGCCTCCCGCCCAGTGGTCACAGTCTGGTATCACCAAACACTAATTACTACTACTAATTATGACAATAACAATAATTAATAATAATAATAGTCAACTTCGCTTCAGTGTGTGTGTGTGTGTGTGTATTTAATGCTTTGGCTGCGTGACTGCTCCAGCAAGTGTACTGAACTGTTATATATGTTTTTGTACTTGTGATTGTTTTCGTTTTAATATATTTGTATTTGTCAGCATTTTGAATATGTGATTTATTATTTTCTGATAAAGCCAAAAAGAAACAAAACCAAGCCATGAGAGAGACAGTGATGTTGATCAGAGATGCCCTCGTCTGTTTCTCCCCCACAGCTATAGACCCACACCCCTTCGTCGACGAGTGCCCCTACGCCGGGTATTGTCTCAACGGGGGGACCTGTATGATGTTCAGGATCGTCGGCGAGCTAGTTTGTCAGTGAGTATCCTCAGTACCTGTACCTGCCCCTACTGTACCCTCTACTGTACCTATACCTACTGTACCTGTACTTGTACCTACTGCAACCTGTACCTGCCCCTACTGTACCTACTGTACCCTCCTCTACTGTACCTGCCCCTACTGTACCCTCTACTGTACCCTCCTCTACTGTACCTGCCCCTACTGTACCCTCTACTGTACCTCCTCTACTGTACCTGCCCTGTACTGCCCTCCTGTACCTGCTGTACCTACTGTACCCTACTGTACTGTGCCCCCTCTACTGTACCTGTACCTACTGTACCTGCCCCTACTGTACCTGTGTACCCTACTGTACCTGTACCCTCCTCTGTACCTGCCCCTACTGTACCTGTGCTACTGTACCTGCCCCTACTTTACCCTATACTTTCTGTACCTGTTACTGACAGTACCAGCACTAGTGACAGTAACAGCACTAGTGACAGTACCAGCACTAGTGACAGTACCAGCACTAGTGACAGTACCAGCACTAGTGACAGTACCAGCACTAGTGACAGTACCAGCACTAGTGACAGTACCAGCACTAGTGACAGTATCAGCACTAGTGACAGTACCAGCACTAGTGACAGTACCAGCACTAGTGACAGTACCAGCACTAGTGACAGTATCAGCACTAGTGACAGTACCAGCACTAGTGACAGTATCAGCACTAGTGACAGTACCAGCACTAGTGACAGTACCAGCACTAGTGACAGTACCAGCACTAGTGACAGTACCAGCACCAGTGACAGTATCAGCGCTAGTGACAGTACCAGCACAGTACCAGCACTAGTGATAGTACCAGAACTAGTGACAGTACCAGCACTAGTGACAGTACTTGCATCAGTGTGAGGGAAAACATTATGTGAGTTGTGCTGCCAGGCTTACCTCACTCACTCCTAACTCTGTACGTGTTAATTTATGTTGAAATTCAGAAGTTGACTTGATAATGTTTAGGTAATTTATGAAAAAAAATACTTGTGTAGTAATATGATGAAAGTTTTCTAATTAAATATAGTGTAGGCTCTGTGTATGTATGTGTGTTTGTATGTGTGTTTGTAGGCTGTGTATGTGTGTATGTTTGTATCTGTGTTTATATGTGAGTAGGTTTGTGTATATGTCAGCCTATTGCTTGATGTAATGGTCTTGTGTACCCACAGGTGTGCAGAAGGCTACAAGGGTCAGCGGTGCCAGGAGAAGGAAGTTTACCCAACGTTTAGTGAGTAAATCAGCTGAGTGTTGGAATGACTAACTGTCGTTCTTCTACTCTTCCTTGTGTTGTACTGTGTATCATTTTGTTGCGTTTACGGCTTTAGTGAGTATTTATATACCTTCAGAATTTTGCATCTAACTTGTTTTATTATTATTATGTGCAAGAAATAACGTAGTTATGCATTATGTTGTGGACGCATTTAATGTTATTGATGGGAATTAGCTGTTGGAAATTGATTGCATGATGATTGATGATGATGATAATGATGTTGTTGTTGTTGTTCTTATTGACATGCCACGTTCGTGGAGTATGCCTGAGGCAGGACCTGTGTGTGTGTCCTTACTGTAAGTGAACCAAACATGTTCACTCAAACAATTATTTAGTTCATACTATATATATATATATATATATATATATATATATATATATATATATATATATATATATATAGTGTGTTTCCTTCACTACCAAGAGAGTTTATATGGTGAAAGTGGTGCAGGTTTGATCGCCTTGTCTTCAGACCAGAAGGTAATATCTCACTCCTGCCTCAGGTTAACCTCCCCAAACAAAATAAAGATCTAAATGCTTAGGGCTGACGGCGCTTCATGATAAGCTGCTTTGGTGGTGTGTTATTAACACAGAGTAACAAGGAGCACCTCGGACGTTGTGTTACTGGAGTCAAGTATCAACATACACTCCTTGGCAGTATACAGTACCAATGGGTACATAACCCCACTCATCAAGGCAGCTGATAACACCTATTGCTCATTTTATCTTTACATGCAATATGGATATACATTTTAAGCCAATATTTATTTTCAATTGATTATCGCATTAAATATATCTTGCTGTCTCTTTATATTTCCTGATGAGCGGTCTTGGCATGTTCAGTACCTGTGACCTAAGAACCTGCTTGTTGCGTGTGGTTTTCACTTACCGCTGCATCACACGAGAGAGGGTCCCATCCTGGCCTCACACCACACACACATTATGCTAAAATAGTCATTGCTGCCAGTCTTTAAGTCTTCAGCGTGCTCTCTACACCCCAGCAGGGCTAAAAACATGACCCCAGATAACACTCCCTCACCCCAAATAACACTCCCTCACCCCACATAACACTCCCTCACCCCAGATAACACCCCCTCACCCCAGATAACACTCCTTCACCCCAGATAACACTCCTTCACCCCAAATAACACTCCCTCACCCCACATAACACTCCCCCACCCCAAATAACACTCCCTCACCCCAAATAACACTCCCCCACCCCAAATAACACTCCTTCACCCCAGATAACACCTTCACCCCACATAACACTCACCCCAGATAACACTCCCCACCCAAATAACACCTCACCCCAAATAACACCTCACCCCAAATAACACCCCCTCACCCCAGATAACACTCCACCCCACATAACACTCCTCACCCCAAATAACACTCCCTCACCCCAAATAACACTCCTTCACCCCAGATAACACTCCTTCACCCCAGATCCTTCACCCCAGATAACACCCCTCACCCCAAATAACACTCCCCCACATAACACTCCTCACCCCAGATAACACTCCCCTCACCCCAGATAACACTCCCTCACCCCAGATAACACTCCTTCACCCCAGCACCCCAGATCCTTCACCCCAGATAACACACCTTCACCCCAGATAACACCCCTCACCCCAAATAACACTCCCCACCCCACATAACACTCCTCACCCCAGATAACACTCCTTCACCCCAGATAACACTCCTTCACCCCACTCCCTCACCCCAGATAACCTCCCCACCCAAATAACACTCCCTCACCCCAAGATAACACTCCTCACCCCAGATAACACTCCCCCACCCCAAATAACACTCCCTCACCCCCAAGATAACACTCCTTCACCCCAGATAACACTCCTTCACCCCACATAACACTCCTCACCCCAGATAACACTCCTTCACCCCAGATACCCCCACCCCAATAACACTCCTCACCCCAGATAACACCTTCACCCCACATAACACTCCCTCACCCCAATAACACCCCACCCCACACACTCCTCACCCCACATAACACCTTCACCCCAGATAACACTCCCCAACCCCAAATAACACCTTCACCCCAGATAACACCCCTCACCCCAAATAACACCTCACCCCAGATAACACTCCTTCACCCCAAATAACCTCCCTCACCCCACATAACACTCCCCCACCCCAAATAACACTCCCTCACCTCAAATAACACTCCACCCACATAACACTCCCTCACCCCAAATAACACTCCCCCACCCCAAATCTCACCCAGATAACACTCCAGATCACTCCCCACATAACACTCCCTCACCCCAGATAATAACCTTCACCCCAGATAACACCCCCTCACCCCAAATAACACTCCCCACCCCACATAACACTCCTCACCCCAGATAACACTCCTCACCCAAGATAACACCTCACCCCAAGATAACACTCCCCACCCCAGATAACACTCCTTCACCCCAGATAACACTCCTTCACCCCAGATTCACCCCAGATAACCCCTCACCCCAGATAACACTCCTCACCCAAGATAACACTCCCTCACCCCAAGATAACCCTCACCCCGGATAACTCCTTCAGCACACACACACACACACACACACATCTCTCCCACTCACCCGTCTCCCTCCCACTCATCCATCACCTTCCCACTTGCCCAGTCACCCACTGACCCCCCCTCCTGCTCTCCCTTCACCTTCCCACCTACCACTGTCCCACAATCCCATGCCCACTCACCTGACCATTCAACCCCACTCACCTACCCATTCACCTCCTCACCTCACCCCCACCCCCTCACCCCCACTCACCCTTCACTCCCCCACTCACCTTCCCTTCACCCCCCACTCACCTACCCTTTCATCCCCACTCACCTGCCCACTCACCGACAGCAGGGATCTTAACACACTCTTCTCCCTCCACCAGTGCACTACCGGCGCCCCATTAATCGTCACAGGTCCAGGGTCGGCTTGCTCTAGGGCTGGTAGATATTACAAGTACGTGGCCAGACGCTGTCTACCCCCGTCTGTCTGTTTCTTGTGTGCCACCTTTTGACACTGTCTTGTCCTGTACTGTCTGTCTCATCTTGTTTTGTTCTGTCCAACAAGAAGCTCACAGCTCATCATGTACAGTAAAGAGAGTTTGTGAGAGCTGTACTAACCCTCCGGAGGTACACCTGATTGCGAGGCGACACACCCACCTCACACTTCCTGGTCTGTGTGTAAATTTCTTCACCTGATTTAATATTATTCATTAGTTTAAATCACATTCATAAATCCAACATGAAATATCCTTGAAAAAATCTGGTAGGAACAGTTGCTTGGTGAGTGTGTGACGGTCCATCAGCGAGGGTGTATCTTGTGTACGTTAGTTCCTTTTGTCATAGGCAATAACACCTTCCTAGCTGCGGTTGTTCTACTGTGTGTGTGTGTGTGTGTGTGTGTGTGTGTTAGTGACCACCATCAACACGACTCTGTCTTACACCTCATCACTTGGACGACTGTAAGACAACTTGACGTGACGAAAGACTACTCTGTCATTCAAACTGAGAGACATCATTCTAGTTAGTGGTGAGAGACATCAGTTTAGTGATGTAGGTTTATCACTCAACAGTGTCATTCCAGATAACTACGGTAATGACTTATCACCCCCCCCCCCCTCCCGCGTCCTCAGCGGTTAGTCCTGTCTATAGATGTGAATTGGCTGTCAGTCCTTAATGGTGGGATTTAACACCACAATTACAAATCCTCTTCAGTTCGTTGTATTCGAGGTTAAATTTTCATGGGTTATGGTCAGGTGTAAAGTGTGTTCTCACCTGGAGGAAGAAAATGAGAGTATGTGTAGTGATGTGTCAGCAAGATTCTTACTCGCTTGCCTGCCATGTGGTTCCCAAACATGGATACAAAAATTATGAGTTAGTTTGTCTTGAAAGAAATATAAATACGAGTACAAGGAGTAGAATTGATTAAAAAAAGATTAAATTTATTCTAAAAAAAAAAATATGAGTGGGGGGGGGGGGCGAGGGTTTGGTCAAAAGCAAAAGGTGGGGGACATGTGGAAATGTTTGGGAACCATTGTTGTTGCGTGACGGAGCCATGTTGATAGCGGATTTACACGAGTTCCCATGAAGAGTGATTGGTCTCTCATGAGTTCCTATCCATACACTTACGTCATTCATGAGTTCTCCTGGTAACTAACCATTTCCCCCTGGTCACACGTGAGTTACCCTGGTCACTCATCCTTTTCCCGTGGTCACGCGTGAGTTCCCTGGTCACTCATGAGATAAATACGAAAATTCATTACATATTACATATTTCAACATGAAACTCACAAGTCCAGTATTGTTTTTGTACTGCCAGCCCACCAACACCTCGTGCCACGTCTACACCCTTTATCTCTAATGAACGCTGACATATCGGGATGGACGGATGGTTTTTTGGTGACGTGACAGATAGACAGACAGACAGACTGACAGTCCTGGAAGACGAGCCTCAGCTTGTATGATTACTGACAATAAGTAGTAGTAGCAGTAGTAGTAGCAGTAGTAGTAGCAGTGAAGGTGTGGCTATTGGGGGAGGCTGGAGGCCACGTAAAAAAAAAAAAAAAAAGTAGTAGTAGTAGTAGTAGTAGTAGTAGTAGTAGTAGTAGTAGTAGTAGTAGTAGTAGTAGTATCAACTTTGGTGTAGCTACCCCTGGACGCCTACCTTACCTGACCCCTGGCACCCTTCTGCTACCTAGATATGCCCAAAGCTTCCCCCAACCAGTTCCCAAGTTATTATTATTGAAAAGAAACCCGATAATTGATATTATTGAAAACTTATGTGACGTGTTATCAAACTTTTCGACTTAATGACTGTAATGTATATAGGCTGTTATAGGAGGCAGTGCTGTATATTTTGTTTTTGCTTTTGATTTGTTAATTTAACCTTATTATTAATTTTTATTATAGTTGCTTATTTTTTTAACTGCATTCATTTGTCTTA